ATATGTGAGAGCGTGGCGCCCCCTAGGGGGCCAGTACCGATAACAGCGTCTGCTAACAGAGTTAGCCGTTTAGCTCAAGCTATAGGGCCAGCGCTCTGGGGACTGCAGGTTCAATCCCTGCTCCTGTCAGGCCCAGTTTCATATGTGCTCTGTGAGGTAATTAACCTCCTAGTTACTGAGCTCAATTGTAATACTAAAGAAAACAAAGTGTGTCACTCTGGAGCACAGGACCCTTTCCAGGGGTGCTCCAGAGAGTGGGGAGCCAAAATTAGAGCCCCACGCTACACTGCCAGGGTTGCTGTCCTGAGGTGGGAATCTCATCTCTGACAGCAGGGGCTGCCCTTCAGCAAGAGGGGGAAGCAATGGAGTCCTGCTGCTATGACATCCCCTGTCCTGAGACAGCCCTGCTTTGGATCCCCTGGGAGGAGGGTCTGGACCACATGGCTGGCATGAACCCCACAAAGAGGAGCCAGGAACCTCAGAGAGGTTGGAGCCTGAGCTGAGCTCTGTAGGCTGAATTGAGTGGAGCTGCCCTCAGGGGGATCCCGATCTCCCCTACTGCCCAGCAAACTTGCTCCCATGGCCCCTGCGTGGGCTGTCTAGGGCTGAGCCTGGCAGTGCTGTGCTGGCTCCTGCTCCCAGGTAGCACTCGCTCACCCATTTGGATGTGGCTAGGTGGTGTCTGGCTTCGGCTGCTGCTTTTGCCTCATGTTTAATTTAAGGCAGAAGCTGCAGCTGATAAAGAATTCATGCAGTGGCACCGAGGTCAGGGAAGGTGCCAAGGTTCCCACTGGCAGCAGCAGGCCACAGGGCTCCCTGCTATTGCCAGTGCCACACGCCCTGTCTCCTCCCTGCCTTGCTCCTCTGCTGTGCTCTAGCCTGGAGCTGCCGGGCAGAGGTATTCAGCCTGGTGGACACCCAGCCCTGGCCCCACCACTTCTGCTGGGGTATCGGGCTTGTCCATAGACAACAGGCTTTGTGCTGCTCGTCCAAGCCACTTGCCCTTCCCCTCCTCTCTGAGCTCACTGCAGTCACAGCTTCAGATCCCATGGTGTCGCGGCTCCCCCAGGCCTGGGCAGGTCCCAGTACCCAGCCCAGCCCCCCTAGCCCTGGGCAGGCCCCAGTGCCCAGCCTGGCTCCCACTGCCCTGGGCAGGCCCCAGTGCCCAGCCTGGCTCCCCTTGCCCTGGGCAGGCCCCAGTACCCAGCCCAGCCCCCCTAGCCCTGGGCAGGCCCCAGTGCCCAGCCTGGCTCCCCTTGCCCTGGGCAGGCCCTAATGCTCAACCCCAGCCTGGGCCTGGTGGGAGCTGACCCGCAGCACAGACTCACCCCATGGTACAAACAGCACAGTGGCTTCAAACTGACCATCACATTCACACTTGGATCGACATTCAACACTGACTGTCCTCCTACAAAGTGACACACATGGGCTCACTCTGGGGCTGACACACTCACTGGGGCTGACACACATGCTCTGGGGCTGGCACACACACTCACTAGGGCTGACACACACACAGAGGAAAAGACCAACTCACTCTGGGGTCTCCTACAGGCAGCGCTGTCTGCCCTCCGGCAGCTGCACGCCCCATCCAGGTGAACCTGGGGACAGACACATTGGCCACCAAGACCAGCAGGGCCGAACCTCCCCATGAGCCAGCTCTCTGAGCCACTGGAGGCCCAGCCCTGCCCCAAAGCTGGAGGGGTTTGGTCCTGCCCACTCTGCCAGCAGCTCCCCATTCCCTCTCCAGTCAGGCATGCTCATTCTTGGCACTGCCTGCACACACACACACACGCACGCTGCACCTCTGTATTCATACACACACTGCACTTGAACACACCTTCATACCACACACACACCCCAACACACTCATTCATCGAACAATCACTTAGTGTCTCTGCTTATCAGGCCTTCGCACTCCTATGCAGCATCTCCCTCCCCTGAGGGTCTCAGAGCACTGGGCAGGCAAATGCTAATGAGCTGTGTGCCTCATCCTCTTGGCTCGATGTGGGAACCCCTCTGTGCCTCAGTTTCCCCTCTGTGGTGGGGATAATGCCCCGAGGGCTGGGAAGGTAAATCCATTCATGTCTGCAGAGGCACTGAGCTCCCCACATGGAGATGCCAGTGTCCCATGCCTGCTGGGTGTGGGGTCTACGTGGCTCTGGGCTGGCTCTGACAGATGCCCCTGCATTTTCACCACGGTGCCCCACCACCGCCGCCCAGGCAGGTAGTGCCCACTGTGTGCCCGGCCTTAACCATTCCGGGGGGGCTGGCTGCCCCTGTTAAAAGCTGGCTAGCGGCTCCTTTGCTGCTGCAGCGATCCAGGCTTCATGGCCTTTTCCCAGCAAAAGCGGAGTCCCGGGGGCCCGTGGGGCAGGGGTGGGGGCAGGACTGAATGGGACTGTCATGGGAAAATAAAGACATCCTGTTCCAAACAAACTGTGGTCCTGGCCTGAGCCATTGCATCGAGGACGGGGGGAGCTAGGCAGAGTGGAACGGCCCTGAGCTGCTCAGTGCAGATTAATGAAGCTTTTCAAAGTTTCATTAGCAGGAAATCGGTCTTGATCGCCCAGGGATTGGAGCATTAATCAGGGCAGCCAGAGTTTGCTTTGCGCAGTTCTCCCCAGTGCCAGCAGAGCACTGGGCGGGAGCTGGAGCCAGGCCCTTCTCGGGGATGCTTATCTCCTGATGCAAATTGCAGCTGGAACATGGCTTGTGGGGGTGTCTCCACCACCAGGATGGGGCAGCTCCACCCCTACTGTTCCTCCAGCCTGGCCCAGCCCTGCCTGGGGAGGGAGAGCTCAGTCCATGCAGTGGTGCATCTCTGGTGCAAGCACCAGGAGCCAGACTGGCCGCCCCCAGATCATTCCGAATGGGCTCCCAACGAGCCCATGCCGGGTGCTTTCATCACAACTGCCCCGGCCTGGGTTCAAAAAGGGAAATGAGAGGGGAAGGGCTCCGTACTCACAGGGATTGTCAGGAGATCCCAGCAGACACCTAGTGTGCTGAGCGCCTTTGGAAATCTGCCCACTCCCTCTCCCTCCTTCATTCCCTGGTCTAGATGACAATGGAGTGTCTGGGGTGGGTGCATGTGAGACAGACAGAGTGCTGCCCCCTAGTGAATGGAGTTGGAATTGCCCCCACCTTGTATCATGGCCCCACACTGATTCTCCGTAGCCCAGGGCAGGGCCTGTGCTAGGGGAGCAGGAGTGTCTGTTCTCCAGCCCTGTTGCAGCTGCGACATTCCCCTTGCCTTGCTGTGCCACACCGGGACAGCCCTGAGGGCCACAGATTGGTTCCAGTCTCTCCGTGTTCCTGCATGGCCAGGACCTAAGCGCCATGGCCCATTCCCACCCCCTGAGCCTGAAGCCCTTGGTGTAAACCTGAGATTCCCCAGAGCATGGAGTTCACATTGCGGACCCAGAGAGCAGGGCTTCAGCTCAGAGATCTCTGGGGGAGCACCAGTGCCCAGCCTCAGCCTGGCTCCCCCTACCCTGTGTAGGCCCCGGTGCCTGGCCACAGCCTGGCTTCCCTGCCCTGGGCAGGCCCTGATGACCAATCCCAGCCTGGCTCCCCCTTCCCTGGGCAGGCCCCAGTGCCCAGCCCAGCCTGGTCTGGTGGAACTGAACCAGTCTATCCTCATTCCTGAGCAGCAAAGGGAGTTCCTGGAGCTTCACACTCTCTGAGCTGAGAGCAATGGAAGGGCAGTGCCAGTGGATGCTGGGGTCTGCCAGGGGCAGGAGGCTGGGTCTAGCCTGCTGGGATGGGGGCACTGAAAACCCATGAGTGGAGACAGCCAAACACCTCCCTCTCAGACTGCCAGCATTGGCCTGGCACTTCCCCCAGTCCAGCTTCCCACAAGGGTCTGTGACTGGGGAGTGCCCAGGGGACAGGCAGGGCTGACTTCTCAGCCCTAGGACATTAAGGTAATGGGTGTCGGGCAAGGGTTTCCACCCGTCAGGCTGGGCTGAGTGTGAGTGGGAGGCTGCAAGCCCCAGAGAGTGTGTGTCAGCCCCAGAGAGTGTGTGAGTGAGCCCCAGTGTGTGTGTCAGCCCCAGAGAGTGTGTGTCAGCCCCTGTGTGTGTCAGTCCCAGAGAGTGTGTGAGTGAGCCCGAGAGTGTGTCAGCCCCAGAGAGTGTGTGTCAGCCCTTGTGTGTGTCAGTCCCAGAGTGTGTGTGAGTGAGCCCCAGTGTGTGTGTGTCAGTCCCAGAGTGTGTGTGAGTGAGCCCCAGTGTGTGTGTCAGTCCCAGAGAGTGTGTGAGTGAGCCCCAGTGTGTGTGTCAGCCCCAGAGAGTGTGTCAGCCCCTGTGTGTGTCAGTCCCAGAGAGTGTGTGAGTGAGCCCCAGAGAGTGTGTCAGCCCCAGAGAGTGTGTGTCAGCCCCTGTGTGTGTCAGTCCCAGAGTGTGTGTGAGTGAGCCCCAGTGTGTGTGTCAGCCCCAGAGAGTGTGTGAGCCCCAGTGTGTGTGTCAGCCCCTGTGTGTGTCAGCCCCAGAGAGTGTGTCAGCCCCAGTGTGTGTGTGTGTCAGCCCCAGAGAGTGTGTGAGTGAGCCCCAGTGTGTGTGTCAGCCCCAGAGAGTGTGTGAGCCCCAGTGTGTGTGTCAGCCCCAGAGAGTGTGTGTCAGTCCCAGAGTGTGTGTCTGAGCCCCAGAGAGCACGTCAGTTTCAGAGTGTGTATGTGTGTGTGAGTATCAGCCCCAGAGAGTAGTGTGTGTGTGTGTGCATGTGTGTGTGAATCCCAGAGTGTCTGTTTCAGTCCCAGAAAGTGCGTGTGTCAGTGTCAACCCCAGTGTGTTGCCTCTCAGGGGCCACCGAGGACACATACTGTCCCCATGTGCCCAAGGTCCTCTCCCTGGCTGCTCCCACTTCCCTTACCCTCCAGCTGCTCCCCCCTCCCTTTACCCCACAGCTACTCCCTGCCACCCTTCCCTGCTGCTCCTGGCCTCCACTCCTTGAAGTTCAAAGTTCAAATTCCACCCAGGCTGTGAAATAAATCAATCCGAATCTGTCTGTGTGAATGCTGTTGGGGAGGGAGCAGAGTCCCGGCCTGCGGGGAGCCTGGGAGACAGCCCCACACCCGCTCCCAGCCACACACCCCCAACCCACACCGTCGGTGAGCGGGCACCCGGGATGGGAGGGAGGGGCGGGGGGCAGCTAGGCTGAGGGGCTGGGATGGCACAGGGTCTCCGCCTGTGTTTCCATGCGTCAAGAAGGGACAGAGACAGGGAGTTGAAGTTCATGCCCCTCTTGATTCAGGGCCAGCCAGGCGAGGTCCCCGGGTCTTTGCACCAATGGGGGTCCCAGGCGAGCCAGGGCCCCCTGGCTGGGCTCAGCCCTGCTCAGGAGAGTGAGAGGGACTGGGGCCAATGTGAGTGAACAGCAGGGAGACTGACAAGGCAGGTCTCTGGTCGGGAAAGGGGGCTTTGAACAAGTGATTTCTGGGGAATCATGAGAGCTCCGCAGCTACCCCTGCCCCACCACAACTGGGGGAGCCACCCAGCCCCAGGCCTTCAGCCTTCTCCCTGCCCCCTCTGTCCCCCTCTGGGTGCCGATCTCTGCCTGGTGCTCCCAGCCCTGGACAGCTGCCCATTTCTAATGAACTTTGCCTTCTCCAGGCTGGCTAATCTCCCCCCACGCTGGGTTAACAATCCCCGCACGGGCCCCAGACTAACCCGGTCAGGGAGGGGACTGTGGGGACAGCTCCCCACAGCCAGGCAGGTCACCTTGGCTCCCAGAGCAGCCTGCTTCACCTTGACGAGGGGGACCAAGCACAACAGGCACCAAGAGGTTGGGCTCCTCCTGACTCCAGCAGGGCAGGGCAGGTCCAGCCCGAGAAGCAAAAACTGCCCCTGCTGGGTGGGCACAGAGCGTTGCACACACATTGCAGTGATGCTTGGCTTGGTCTAGGACGGGACTTGAAGCCAGGTCAGCCAGGCGAGTGCTCTACCCACTGGGCTAGTATGAATAAAGCAGCTGCTGCTGCCCCTCCTCCTTGGACAGTTTGCTGTGGAGCGAGGCACCTGCCTCTCTCATTCTCACCAGAAAGGCCTGAGGTGCCAGACGCCATGTGCGGGGCTCCCAGGTGACTGGCTAGCAGAGCTGGGCACCTCCCTGCAGCCAGGGCTTAGGTGCCTAGCTTGGTGAGGGGGCACGGCTTAGCTCACACCCCTTCGGTTGGCATCTCCCATTGACTGGCGTAGGTGGCTCTCCCCAGCATGTTGGAGTGTGGGTCGCAACAGTGTCGGGCGCCCCTCCCCCCTTCAGTGTATGGGAGCCCAGACCCCTAGCTCTGGCTGTGTGGGTCGCAACAGTGTCGGGCGCCCCTCCCCCCCTTCAGTGTATGGGAGCCCAGACCCCTAGCTCTGGCTGTGTGGGTCGCAACAGTGTCAGGCACCCCTCCCCCCCTTCAGTGTATGGGAGCCCTGGGCCCTAGCCCTGGCTATGTGGGTCGCAGTGTCAGGCACCCCTCCCCCCCCTTCAGTGTATGGCAGCCCAGACCCCTAGCTCCGGCTGTGTGGGTCGCAACAGTGTCAGGCGCCCCTCCCCCCTTCAGTGTATGGGAGCCCAGACCCCTAGCTCTGGCTGTGTGGGTTGCAACAGTGTCAGGCGCCCCTCCCCCCCCTTCAGTGTATGGGAGCCCAGACCCCTAGCTCTGGCTGTGTGGGTCGCAACAGTGTCAGGCGCCCCTCCCACCCTTCAGTGTATGGGAGCCCAGACCCCTAGCTCTGGCTGTGTGGGTCGCAACAGTGTCAGGCGCCCCTCCCCCCCCTTCAGTGTATGGCAGCCCAGACCCCTAGCTCCGGCTGTGTGGGTCGCAACAGTGTCAGGTGCCCCTCCCCCCCTTCAGTGTATGGGAGCCCAGACCCCTAGCTCTGGCTGTGTGGGTCGCAATAGTGTCAGGCGCCCCTCCCACCCTTCAGTGTATGGGAGCCCAGACCCCTAGCTCTGGCTGTGTGGGTTGCAACAGTGTCAGGCGCCGCTCCCCCCTTCAGTGTATGGGAGCCCAGACCCCTAGCTCTGGCTGTGTGGGTCGCAGTATCAGCCGGCTCTCCCCTGCATTCAGTGTATGAAGAACAGGAGTACTTGTGGCACCTTAGAGACTAACAAATTTATTAGAGACACAAGTACTCCTGTTCTTTTTGCAGATACAGACTAACATGGCTGCTACTCTGAAACCAACCATTCAGTGTATGGGAGCCCAGACCCCTAGCTCTGGCTGGGTGGGTCGCAGGGTGTTCCTGTGATTTGCTAGGTCCTTAAAAGTGAGTACTGTCCCAGCTCAGCATCACAGCATCTCAGGCCCTCTGTGAAGCCAGCCCCTGCTCTCTTGGGGCTTCCTGCCCATCTGTAAAGTGAGGAGCAAATGTCCCTACTCCCCAGGGGCTGAGAGGAGACAACCCATAAACCATTGTGATGGGGCTTGGATATAGCAGTGAGCAGGACCAGCTATGTACTGAGAAAGCTAGATCACTAGGTAGATAGAGGGGTGTATGGGGACAGAAGGGTGTGTGTGTGGCGGGGGGGGATAGATGGGTGAGTATGGGGACAGAAGGGGGTGTATGGGGACAGACGGGTGTGTGTGTGGCAGGGGGGGATACATGGGTGGGTATGGGGACAGAAGGGGGTGTATGGGGATAGCCAGAGGGGTGTATGGGGATAGAAGGGGGGGTATGGGGATAGCCAGAGGGGTGTATGGGGATAGATAGATGGGTGTATGGGAATAGATGGGGTTGTATGGGGATAGGCAGAGGGGTGTATGGGGATAGAAGGGGGGTATAGGGATAGCCAGAGTGGTGTATGGGGATAGATGAGGGTATCTGGGGATAGAAGGGAGTGTCTGGGGATAGAAGGGGGTATGGGGATAGCCAGAGGGGTGTCTGGGGATAGAAGGAGGTGTATGGGGGTAGATGGGGGTGTATGGGGATAGAAGGGGGGTATGGGGATAGCCAGAGGGGTGTCTGGGGATAGAAGGAGGTGTATGGGGGTAGATGGGGGTGTATGGGGATAGAAGGGGGGTATGGGGATAGCTAGAGGGGTGTATGGGGATAGAAGGGGGGGTATAGGGATAGCCAGAGTGGTGTATGGGGATAGATGAGGGTATCTGGGGATAGAAGGGAGTGTCTGGGGATAGCCAGAGGAGTGTATGGGGATAGAAGGGGGGTATGGGGATAGCCAGAGGGGTGTATGGGGATAGAAGGGGGGGTATAGGGATAGCCAGAGTGGTGTATGGGGATAGATGAGGGTATCTGGGGATAGAAGGGAGTGTCTGGGGATAGAAGGGGGTATGGGGATAGCCAGAGGGGTGTATGGGGATAGAAGGGGGGGTATGGGGATAGCCAGAGGGGTGTGTGGGGGTAGTTGGGGGGTAAAAGATGGATTCCCTGCAGAGCGTGCTCAGCTGTGGGAGGGGGAGCTGGCCGCTAGCCACGTTCATGCATTGGCAGCAGCGTTCCAGAGGCAGCAACACACTGTGCACTGGGGCTGCACTGCAGAGGTGGAGGCAGAATGTGGGGCCGGTGCGGCTGCCAGAGGGTAACTGGGGGCAGAGAAATGCTGTAGCTGAGAGTGCTGCCCCCTGCTGGCAGGTCCTGCCTGTTCCGTAGCCCCCGTGGCGCGAGATGGCCCCCGAGAGGCCCGGTTCACTTGGTAGAAGATCCCCCATGGGTAGGTGACAGGCAGTGGGGCCATCTGACCGCTGCCATCTGCTGCCTCCCTCGCTGGCGTTAGCACAGTTCTGGTTACTCCCGGCCCAGCGGCCCAGAGAAAAGCTCCCCCTAAGGCTCTTTGGAGCGTGGGGGATGGGCTCCGTGGCCGGTGAAGGCTGGGCACGGTCCTAATAGAACTTGATACGGGCTCTCCCCAAACCCACTCGACCAGGCTTTGAGAGAAACAGCATCTGTGTGTGTGTGTCTGCATGAATCAGGAGTTTTCCCACCACCCACCGCCGCAGTATCTGGGCACCTGCCACGTACAACCGACAGCAACAGCTAAGTTGTCATGTGACTGCACAATGCCTGCAGGAGCATAAACAAAGGGGAGGGGGGGGCTCCGTGACTGGGATCCACGGGGGGGCCTGTCCCTGGGGAAGGGAGGGTGGAGGAGGAATGGGGCCCCAAGGATGGGGAGCCGTCTCCTGGGGGAGGGCCAGGAGAGCAGGCTGGACTGGCCTCTATGGAAGGACCACATGGCATGGTCTGACCTGGGTCATGTGGGGTCTGCTGGAGCTTAGGCCTGTCGCTGACTCTCCTCTCCCCACAGCAGCTTCCCTGCCATGCTCAGCCCCTCTGATAGGGAGAGCAGCAGCAGCAGCAGCCCCAGCATGCTGAGCCTTGGGGCTGGGAGCAGCGAGGACAGGGAGCCAGAGGGAGAGGAGAAAATCTGTGCCGTGTGCGGCGACCGAGCCACTGGCTACCACTTCCATGTCATGACCTGCGAGGGCTGCAAGGGCTTCTTCAGGTGAGGGACCCCCTGGTGCCATCACCCTGCCAACTCCAACTCCCTGGGCCTGAGTCTTTCCACCCCATGGGGCTGGCGAGGGTAAACACTGCCCCCTATTGGCGCTGCGCAGGCAGGGCACTGCCCTGGGTCACACCCAACACCCCTCAGAACAGGGAGGGTTAGGGTGTGGGGGTGCAGTGGTGTGTATACATGTGTGCATAGGGTATGTGTAGTGTGTAATGGTTTTCTTATGTGCTTGTATGTGAGGAGGTGTGCAGTGAGATGTGCGTGTTTGTAGGGGTTTGACTGATATTGCGACCGCATGCAGCATCTCAGGGGACCATGCTGTATCCAGTTTATGAATGGTTGCTGTATCTTTGTGACCTGGGATTGGAGCAGCTCCATGGGAGAGGGTTACCACAGCTCTGCCAGGACCTAAAAACAGCAACAGGGGGAGGTGATTCCTACAGCCCTGGTGATTGTAAACAGCTCTGGAGAGGTACCACCCTGGGGTGGTTTGCAGAGACTGCTTTAGGGCAGGGCAGTCACAGAGGACAAAGGAAGAGGGTGCGTTACAAAGGCTGAGTTTGAACAGATTCAGGTCTGAACCTTGCTGAAAGGTTGGAAAGGCGGCGGGGCCGGGCCTGTCTGGTTCGTGCATGTGCACAGCTTTCTCACCGTTACCCTTCCTCTGGGATGCTTTTGTCCTTCAAATACATGTGCTCTGCTGGGGAAGGGCTGGGGGGTCCCTGGTAACAGCCCAGGCACTGTCTTTGGCGAGAAGGCGTGATGCAGGTGCTGGCCTTGCTGGGGATGTCATAGTGTAACGCAGGGGGCTGTGCAGCCTTAAAGTGCTGCTCAGGAGGGAGCGAGACATGGGTCTTGGCCCAAGTGAGGTGATGGCTGGGAGCTGGAAGCCTCAAGAAGGGGCCCTCAAGAGACCACAGAGCGGGAATACAGGTGCAGTTACCCTCAGCTGTGAGGGGGTGTAATGTACAAGGTGTATGTGTAAACTGGTGTTTCTCTAAGGGATGTGTATGTTGTGGATGTGTATGGGTGTGTGTGTGTGTTGATGTGCATATTTGGGGTGTGCACTGGGATGTTTATGTGGGTGTGTCTGTGTGTGGGGTACATGAGTGTGTATTGGGATGTGTCTGTATATTGGGGTGTGCAGGAGTGTGTTATGCACTGGCGTGTGTATATCAGGAGTGCACATTGGGATATATATGTGGGTGTGTACCCAGGTATGCGTATGCATTGGGATGGGCATGTGTGCATAGCATGTCTGTGCGTTGGGGGAGGGTGCGGTATGTGTTTGTGTGCACACAGGCAATGCCCTGGGTCAGTGTCTGTTGTGTCCGACCCTCATGGCAGCTGCCCTGTGGCTGTGTTGTCCTGTGGCTCACAGCCGGCCATGTGCTCGTCTCCACGAGCCTTTGCTGCTGCTGACCCCAGGTTTATCTCAGCTGATGCCCAGGCAAGTACAGCCGTGCCAGTGACACAGGGTGCGGCTGGGACACTCTGCTGGGCATGACTGTCCAGGCCTGTCCCTCCCTGCAGGGCTCAGCTGGCACTGGCTCAGCTTGGATCCCAGGCCCTTGTCCACTTGCCCAGCCCCCCAGATTCACCCAGGTCAGCTCTGGCTCCAGCCAGGCTGCGTTTCGGCAGCACTCAGCAAGGTCCCTGCTCTAGGCCACTGTGCAGATTCCGGTCATGTAATGGGATGTGCTGACTGAACTGGGCCTCACCTGCTGCCTCCTGCAGCTGCCAGCCTGAGCCACATGCCAGCCCGAGCCACATGCCAGCCCTGATGGGCAGCAGCATCCCTGCATGGCTAACCAGGGTAACTACCCACTGCACAGTACTGCCGGCGACCTGACACCCATACAGCACTCCCTACTGTGCCTCCACCCTGATCCCTGCGGCCCAGTGCCCCCTAGTGCCAGTCTGGGGCACTGGGGTCATCGCTGGCTGTGCAGGGCGAGTGCCCCTTCTGCTCCCTGCAGCACCGTGCCCCTGTGCCACGCTGAGCCACATGCACCACTTCCTGCGGCATGCTGCATGTTCCTTTGAGGTCTCCCATCCCCCTGCCCCAGAGTGACTCTGTTTCATTGTGAGGCTTATTCTCAGGGAAAGGTGTTGAGGTTTCAGGACTTTGGGGCAGCTTTAATGCTTGTGGCTTCTCCTCCACTCAGGGAAGAAACAGTTCTAGACTCCCTGGTTGATCCAGATGGGCTTGTTCCGGGCATTGCAACTGACCGGGACAACCAATGCCTGAGATGACTACTGCGGGCAGGGCCCAAAGCCTCTTCCCCATGGCTTCTTGCAGCACCATTTACCATTCTGTGTGTGTGTGCACACACGCTGGCATAGCCATCTGTCTGTTTGTGTGTGCTGGAATAACCATCTGTGTGTGTGAGAGCAAGCATAGGAAGTGTGGGCCTACCCATCTGCATAGGGGGCAGATCTCGGGGGAGCAGAGAGCTGGCACACCCCGACGTGTTGGCATGTTACATGTCTGTTGCTCAATACCTGTGCCAGCACCCCCCGCCCCCCCTGCCCAGACACGGCGACCCTGCGTCAGGGAAAACGTAGCTGGGACGGTTTGGTGGAGAGGAAGCTGGGAGCCGGCTCCCCCAGCTCTATCCCACAAAGCAGTGCCTTGCAGCTGGAAATGACCCAGAAGCCCCTGCTCCTAGCAAGGATGGTGCACGTTGGTTTGGGCATCCGAGTGCCTGGATGGGAGGGGAGCAGGAGCAGCAGGCTGTGCTGTGCCCGGCAGGGATGCAGTGCTGCATGGAGCAGGCTGGGGATGAAGCCAGCAGAAGGCTGGGAGGGGACGGCAGGTCGCTGAGGAGTGCCGGGGCTGCCTGCCTGAGTTGCTCTGAGCCTTGCAGTGCCAGGTCCAACGGGATGCCCACTTGGGGTTCTCACTGTGAGGGGCAGGGAGGGCTCCCTGACCCTCTCCCAGGGCAGGGGGGAGTCTCTCCTGTCCCCCAAGCCCTCCCCTCTTTTACAGGCGGTCCATCAGCAAGGGCGTCTGCTTCACCTGCCCCTTCACCCACAACTGCACCATCACCAAAGCCAAGCGCCGGCAGTGCCAAGCCTGCCGCCTCCAGAAGTGCCTGGCCGTTGGCATGAGGAAGGACAGTAAGTCGGGGCTCGGCTCCCTGCCCTCCTGCAGCTGGTGTCTGGCCCTGGGGAGGTTGGCAGGGGAAGTGCAAGGGCCACTTTCCCCAGGACACTGGCACTCAGGGAGTATCTGTGCTGCAGCCTTGTCAACCTGGGGGTGCTCCCCTCTGGGCTCAGGCACCTTCCGTTAATGAACGCCCCAGCGGGGGGATGCCAGGCTAGAGGAGTGCAGGGCTGATGCTGTGTGGGAATCCCAGCACAGCACAGCCATGCGGGGGGTTGGCTAGCAGGGTGCAGGGCTGGTGCCATGCGGGGAGTCCCGGCTGGCAAGGCGATGGGCTGGTGCCATGCGATATGTTCCAGGTCACTGTTGCCTAGTACTCACCCTTGTTGCCCCCCAGCAGCACCCCTGCTGGTGACAGCAGAGCCACCCAGCCACTCTCTGCTGCATCTGCTCTGTCCCCATCCCCATCGAGCAGCTGGCAGGGAGGGAGAAGAGGATCAAGCCATCAGCAGTGTCGGGGCACGCAGGGGCCTTGGAGCGTCACCCAGAGGAGTAGCCCCTGCATCACTGGGTGCTGGGCAGATAACTCGCTGCAGGGACTGGGCAGATAGGTTGTTGGGGGGCTGTGGGGATAGCTCACGGGGAGGCTGGGTCCTGAATGCATAGTTGGCTGGGCAGACAGTTCGCTGGGGGGGCTGGGGGATCTGCTTGGATAGTTCGCTGGGGGGGGCTGGGGAATCTGCTTGGATAGCTCGCTGGGTGCTGCGTGGGTAGCTCGCTGGGGGGGGCTGGGTGCTGCATGGATCACTCACTACGGGGGCTGCTTGGATAGCTCACTTGGGGGACTAGGGGTTGTGTGGATAGCTCACTGGGCTGCTTTGTGCTTCCCCTGTGGAGCAGCCAAGGTCTCTGATTTGCAGCATGTATCTGCTATCTGACTCCAGTACTGGCTATGGAGAGTCTGCCTGCCCGGCCCCGAGTCCCCCCACCCTCTGCCGGTGCAGCCCCAGCTCAGAGAAGGGTGGCTGGTGCCCCTGATGCGTTAAAAGCAACCCTGTCTGGCGGGGGCAGCATTGGCCCCCTGGAGAACTGTCCCATAACACTGGGGGTGGGGGGGGAGGCTCTCCTGGTGGAAGTGACTCTCCTGTCTTTACTCCCATCACTGCTGAGCGTCCAGCTAACACACACTGCCATGTCCCTGGCAAATGCCAGGAGCACCCAGGCTTATAGGGCCACGAGGCCATACCCCTTCCTCCAGGACTCACAGCACTCCATCATGCTGCCGTGGAGCAGGCAGACTCGCCCAAGGGCACTGGTGAGCCCCCTTGAGAGCTGGAACCCAGAAGTCTGGAATCCCAGGCACCTGCTCTGCCCACTAGACCCCTCTCCGTCCCACAGCCAGGAAGAGAACCCTTGCAGCCTAGTTTCAGCCTCCCTTTTTACCCACTAGACTCCTGCCCTTTTCTGGCTGGGGTTTCTTCCTAGCTCTAGGATGAACCCAGGAGTCCTGACTCAGCCCTGCTCCTCCACCACTCTCCCCAGCCCAGAGCTGGGATTAGAACGCAGGAGCCCTGGCTCCCAGTCCCTACTCTCCCACTAGGCCCCGCTCCCTCCAGCTGGTTTGCCAGGAGGGCCATGGAACCCATGGCTGGGGCAGCGCCATGCTGAGCTCCCCAGGCTCTCGGGCGGGGCTGAGGGAGAGGAAGCTGGGAGGCATTTGTCAGTGTGGGCCTGGGGAGTCGTTGCTGGGGCAAGCCCCTCACCCCTGCCCCGTGGCCTGGCAGTGATCATGTCAGAGGAGGCTCTGCAGATGCGCCGGGTCCTGCGGAAGCAGAAGCAGCAGGAGCGGGAGCTGGCGGGGGAGCCAGCGGAGCTGACAGAGGAGCAGGAGCAGCTCATCAGCATCCTCATCGAGGCCCACAAGAAGCACTTCGACTCCGGCTTCTCCCAGTTCATGCATTGCCGGGTAAGAGCCCCAGCCCCCCCGTAGCACCAGGGCAGCCACACCCCCGCTGGAACCAGCCCCCCCATACACCAACCCAGCTCCCCCCGCAAGCAATGCGGCAGCCACTGCCTCGAAAGCCACCCCCCGCAAGAACCAGCCCCCCATACACCAACCCAGCTCCCCCCACAAGCAATGGGGCAGCCACTGCCCGGAGAGCCACCCCCTCATGGGAACCAGCCCCCCATACACCAACCCAGCTCACCCCCGCAAGCAATGGGGCAGCCACTGCCCCAAGAGCCACCCCCCTGTGGGAACCAGCCCCCCATACACCAACCCAGCTCCCCCCACAAGCAATGGAACAGCCACTGCCCCGAGAGCCACCCCCCCATGGGAACCAGCCCCCCATACACCAACCCAGCTCCCCCCGCAAGCAATGGGGCAGCCACTGCCCCGAGAGCCACCCCCCTGCGGGAACCAGCCCCCCCATACACCAACCCAGCTCCCCCCGCAAGCAATGGGGCAGCCACTGCCCCGAGAGCCACCCCCTGCGGGAACCAGCCCCCCATACACCAACCCAGCTCCCCCCGCAAGCAATGAAACAGCCACTGCCCCGAGAGCCACCCCCCCCCGCGGGAACCAGCCCCCCCATACACCAACCCAGCTCCCCCCCCAAGCAATGGGGCAGCCACTGCCCCGAAAGCCACCCCCGGCGGGAACCAGCCCCGGGCACACTGATCCAGCTCGACCGCGGTCTCGGCCCGGCCAGAAGGGCCTGGGGCGGCGGGGGCTGCTCAGAGCCTTCCCCCTTCGCTGGGGCTGGAAGCAAAACAGCTGCTGCAGCAGCCTCACGCCCCACGGTTGAGCCCAGCTGCCATTGGCTACCTGAGTCACATGCTGGGATTCCTGCTCCCTGATTGGATCGGGCTGGTTACTGGGCCACGTGCTGGCACGGGGCAACTTTCACATCTGCCAGGGTTGGAGTCTGTTCTCCCCCCGGGGTGCCCTCCTGCCCCCCTTCCCCACACCTCTGCACCCCCTCCCTCCTGCCCCCATCCCCCTCCCACCCCCCCTGCTGCCCCCCACCCCTCGGTCCCTCCTACCCCCAACCCCCACTCCCCTGCCCTCCCTCCCTCCTACCCCCAGGTCCCTCCTGCCCCCACCTCTGTCACCCTCCACCCCCACCCCTTGTCATGGAGTCCCTGGGCGATGCTCTGGAACTGCTCCCTACGAAGCCAGGCAGGACTCTGGGGAAGTCTCCTTTCTGTGAGCAGACTGTCTGCAGGACACACAGCTTCCACCTTCCTGGGTCTGACCTTGGAGCGTTCAGCATCCTCTGCCCCTCCCTGCGCTTCCCACAGCGAGTCCGCCCAGGCAGGCTCCTGGGGAAGCCAGAGGGTCCTGCACCCCAACTCCGCAGTCAGACGTGACTCTCAGCCAGCCAGTAAAACAGAAGGTTTATTAGATGACAGGAACACAGTCTAAAACAGAGCTTGTAGGTGCAGAGAACAGGACCCCTCAGCTGGGTCCATTTTGGGGGGCAGTGAGCCAGACAACTACGTCTGCACTTCACTCCATGTCCCAGCCAGCCCCAAACTGAAACTCTCTCCAGCCCCTCCTCCTCTGGGCTTTGTCCCTTTCCCGGGCCAGGAGGTCACCTGATTCCTTTGTTCTCCAACCCTTTAGCTCTCACCTGGCAGGGGGGAAGGGCCCAGGCCATCAGTTGCCAGGAAACAGGGTGTCGGCCACTGTCTGTGTCCAGACCCCTGCACACACCTGCCCTTTAGGGCTCTGCAATGATCATACACCCTTATCCCACCACCTAGGTACTTAAGAACTGCCTAGGGGAAACTGAGGCACCCCCACACTATTCAGAGGAAACATTAAGAACAGTTCCGCTTCGTCACACCCCTCTGCCCCACCCCTCCCTCCTGCCCCTCACCCCCATCCCCCTGTCCCCTCTGCCCCTCCCACCCCCTCTCCCTCCAGCCCCACCCCTCTGCTCTTTCTGCCCCTCCCAGCCGCCTCTCCCTCCACTCTGCCCCCTGCCTCCCACCCCCACCTCTCCCTCCAGCCCCACCCCCCCTTTCTCCTACCCCTCCCAGCTGCCTCTCTATCCCCTCTGTCCTCCCTCCCTCCTGCCTCTCACCCCCACCTCTTCCTCCCTCCTGTCCACATCCCCTCCCCCATCCTAGCCAGGGCTGCCCTGGGCAGAGCCCACCTGCAATTCCTGTGGGAAGGGGCATTCAGGGAAGGTGAACAGAGACACCACCTGGGCTGATCCCAGCAGAGCTCCCGAGCCGGCCAGAGCAGCCACGCGTCTGCACCCTCCTCACTCAGGCCCAACTGCAGCTGCAGCGTCTGTACTTGCGGATCCTGTGCACGAAGTTCTGACCCCCAGGTCCCAGCTTCTCCCCGAGATTGGTCTCGGCAGAGGACCCCCAGCCACGGTGTGGAAGCGGCGCTGGGGTTCGTAAACCATGGCATCTGCAGGGCTGCACCCCACCGGGCCATGGGAATTGGAGCAGGTGCACCCAGCAGTCTAAGGCTCAGCTGTATCACAGGGCAATGCACCAGGGGGCTCGCCACACCCCAGAGTCAGCCGCCTCTCCACAGGGCCAGTTCCACTGACAGCAGCAGCACTAAGGCGCTGACTGGGGCTTCTGTCTCCCCAGCCCCCGGTGCGATTGTACATCCACAGCCTGAGCCCTCAGAGCACCCAGGAACCCAGAGTTCCCCAGGTCCTGCAGGGGGTCTTCCAGCCTGAGGAGGGCGGCCCCCTGGCCCCCTTGCAGAGCCTGCCGGAGGACATGCTGCCTGACAGCTTCTCCATGCTGCCCCACTTCGCCGACCTCAGTACCGTCCTCATCCAGCAAGCGATTAAATTCGCCAAGGAGATCCCAGCCTTCAGGTCAGCACGGCTGGGCTCCCGCACCCCGAGGAGCGGGGAGGGGGGCAGCTGGGGGCAGGCAGCTCAAACTGCCTGGCTGGAGGGGAAGTGGGAAACAGGAACTGAGACCCTGAGAGTCTGACAGGCCCAGCTCAGCACGGCTAGCATCTGCTTTACCCCGCTCCTACCCCCTGCATCTCCCTCAGCCCCGCCCTGCCGCATCCCTGCTCCCCAGCCCCACCCTGCTGCCTCCCTAATCCCCCCCTGCACCCTTCAGCCCCACCCTGCCGCATCCCTGCTCCCCCACCCCCCTTGGCCCCACCCTGCTGACTCCCTGTTCCCCCCACCACAATGCCCCCTGCACCCCTCCCTGCCACATCCCTGCTCCCCCACTGCTCCTCAGCCCCACCCTGCCACATTCCTGTTCCTCCCACCCCAACCCCTGCCCTGCTGCATCCCAACTCCCCGCCTCGCAACCCCCTCAGCCCTGCCCTGCCACTTTCCTGGGTCCCCTGCCCCCCACTGCTCCGCACCTTATTCACCCAGGCCATGTCCCTGGGCCCCCTCCCACCTGCTCCCCCTCAGCCCCACCCTGCCGCATCCCTAATCCCCCCCTGCACCCTTCAGCCCCACCCTGCAACATCCCTGCTCCCCCATCCCCCTCAGCCCTACCCTGCTGCATCCCTACTCCGCATCCTCACCCCTTCAGACCTGCCCTGCCGAATCTGTTTCCCCCACCCCAACGCCCTGCCGCATCCCTACTCCCCCCTGCACCCCTCCCTGCCACATCCCTGCTCCCCCACTGCACCTCAGCCCCACCCTGCCACATTCCTGTTCCTCCCACCCCAACCCCTGCCCTGCTGCGTCCCAACTCCCCGCCCCACAACCCACTCAGCCCGCTCTGCTGCATCCCTGGTCCCACCCCCGAGCCCTGCCCTGCCTCATCCCTGAGGTCCCCAGCCCCTGCTACCCCACCCCCTTAACCTCCCCCCCCCAGCCCTGCTTCATTCTTGGGCCATTCCCCACTCCCCTATTGCCCTGTATCCCACTCAGCCCTGCCCTACTACATCCCTGGGACCCGCAAATCCTGCTGCCCCATCTCCCTGCTCAGCCAAGTCCCCAGGCTCCCCGACCCCTGCTCCACCACTCCCCTCAGCCCTGCCCTGCCACTTTCCTGGGTCCCCCACCCCCTGCACCCCACGGCTCTGCACCTTATTCACCCAGGCATGTCCCTGGGCCCCCTCCCACCTGCTCCCCCTCAGCCCTACATTTCCACATGCCTGGGCCCCCATCCCCTGCTGCCCCAGTGTACCCCCACCCCCCTGAACCTCCTCAGCTCAGCCCCCACAGGGTCCCTACCCCCCGCCCTCTGCGCCTATGGCCCTGGGCTGCTCTGTGCAGCTGCTCCCGGCCTGCTCTCATGCTCTCTCTCACTCTCTCTGGGAAGGAGTTTGCGGATTGATGACCAGATCTCACTTCTCAAAGGCGCCACTTTGGAGATCTGCCAGATCCAGTTCAACACGGTCTTCAACGAGGAGACCAAGGCCTGGGAGTGCGGCCAGCACTGCTACACCATCCAAGACGGTGCCCTGGGTGAGTCCCTCTGGCGCAAGGGGCAGGGGCTGGGCTGGCCCAACTCCCCCGGGTTCTCTCTGCTTCTAGCTCCCTGCCAGTGGGCCCCAGTGTCCCCCACAGGGGCTCCCACGGCCTGGGCTAGGGGAGCCCTGGAAGGGAATGTGGGCTGCCCTGCCTAGAATTCCCTGACAAGAACCGTGGTTCCCCCTGCACCCCGCCACAGCACTGTGCCCTGCCCTATGGGGGACTCACCCCCGGGCTGGCAGGAGGGGCTGGAATAGTGACTGACACAGCTACAACCCTGCACCTCATGCCGCACAGTGCCAAGCAGCGAGTGGCTGAGCACTGACGCTGTGGAAATGCTGCACGTACTGACCCCGAGGGACTTGCTGCCGCAGGGCATACGGGGCACAGGATCGCTGCCCGCTGCGACATGGGTGAGATCAGGTGGGCCGAGGACATTTCCCAGAGCAGGGCCAGGCTAGGTGCCCTGGGGCCCATCTCCCGGGCAGGGGTGGCAGAGCCGCGGCCTGCTTCTCTCTGCGCTTCCTGGGCTGGAAGGCTGCAGTCCCCAAGGAGCAGGCCCTTCCCCACCCTGTCCTGTCCTGCAGTGCAGTGCACCTCTCCTAGCCACCCCCCAGCTCTGCACAGGCCCTGGCTCCAAACAGCCCGACTTCCCCGGGCTGTGGCATGCTGGCAGCTGAGCTCGGAGCCCCGGCCCCACTGGGGAGCCCTGGGCCAGCTAGCGCAGCTCCCCAATCACCCCCATCTCTGTCTCCAGCCGGGTTCCAGCAGATCTACCTGGAGCCGCTGCTCAAGTTCCACATTAGCCTGAAGAAGCTGAGGCTGCATGAGGCTGAGTACGTCCTGCTGCTGGCCATCGTCCTGTTCTCGCCTGGTAAGCCCCACTCCCGGCCCCCAGGATGAGCCCCGAGCCCCCCCAACCATGGGCCCTGAGCCGCCCCCCCGGGCCCTCCCACCCTGCACCACCCCAATGGGCATGGTACTGGACAGTGTGATGGTACATGAGGGCATATCCGTGGCCCCATCATTTGACCAGTGGAACTCACTGTGCCCTGTGAGCAGGGGGTGGGCACTGAGCCCCCGGGGCTTGCTCTGTCTGCACAACAGGGTAACTCCCGCCCCTGTGCTTCCTGCATTGAGCCCTCCACATACACGCAGGTGCCCCCGACCCCAGGGTACATGGCCCCTGCTCTGCCTGCACGCTCATGCCAGGGCTGCCTTCTCCCAGACCACCCTGGCATCACCCAGCGCCACACTATCGACCAGCTGCAGGAGAAGATGGCCCTCACACTGAAGAGCTACATTGACCGACGGCATCCGCTGCCAGAAGGCAGGTGAGCAAGGGACTCCCTGTCCCGGGTCCACAGACTTGGTGCCACATGCTGGCTTTTTACCAGTCCTTGACAGTGCCAGTCAGTGTGCCAGACCCCCCAGGGGCCCCAATTTTCCACAAGGGCAGGCCATGTGGCCTCTCCGCCTCCGAGACTGAGCCCTGGGCCCCCTGCTCCACCCTGTGAGCTCTGCTCAGCCAGTCCAGTGTAGCCAGGCTCCTGGGCAGAGACTTGTTCCCTCTTCCTCAAGGACCTGGGCACCTCAGCAACACAAAGAGCCGCTTCCAGCCAGAGCAGGTTTATTGATGCCCTGGAGCATGGAACGGGGAGGCCTTAGGTAGCCCAGAGAAGCAAAGGGGAAGAGGCGAGCCACCCGTCCAACACCAGGCTCTGCTCCCTGTGCCTGTGTGTGACCCTGGCCCAGTTCTTCTTCCCAGCCACCTCCTGCTGTCTCCCCCATTGTCTTCCTGCTGAGTTCACGCCTCCACTGCCTGCTGGGACCCCCACACTGAAAATGGCAGGTGTGGAGCCTTTAGTCCTTGGGGTTTCCATTGTCTCTCCAGGCTCCCAGCCAGCCCTTAATTATCCATCTGTGTCACCCCAGGCAGCTTCCTCATGGCTCCTGCTCTTTACACTCAGGGCAGAGCAACACAATGCCTGGGCACTGAGGCACATAGCGGAATTATAAAAATATTACCAAAATTCCCACATTCTTCCCCTCCTGGCCCCACACGGGCAGGTGAGTGAGGGTCCCCCACTAGCTTGAATAGCAAAGTTGGGGCAGGAGGAAGCTCCTGGCAGGAACAGGGCCCAAGAAACTGAGCAGCCCAGCAGGGGACACTCACTACCATGGCCCAGCCTGCATGGCCTCACAGAAAAGGGCAGGGAGAGCCCTTCCTGGAGCTCAGGTGTGTACCCGGCCTATCTCTGAGGTGTCTGGGCCTGTTACTTATGGGTGGGCTTTATCCTCACCCAGCCCCGGGAGAGATCTTCCCCCTGTAGGGCTGGGGACTGAGAGATTGGAGGGCAGATGAAGGGTGTCAGGCCCTGACGCAGGGTCACGTGGCTGAGTTGGGAATTGAACCCAGCTGTCCTGGGGCCCAGCCACGTGCCACACTGGTGGGGTGGGATCAAGTGAGCCCCGTGTGTCCTGGGCCTAGCGGGTGCAGCAAGCAGCCCAGGGAAGGAGGCCAGAAGCAAAGGCCATCAGATGGGGACTGGCGGGGGGACGCAGCTCTTCGGGGCCTCTGCCCATTGCCTGGACGTCCAGGCTTTCCCAGGAGCTGGGGGAAGCTGGCTCCTGCAGGGGTCACACTGACATGTGCGGGAGGAGGGAGCTGAGCACTGGCCCATGGGAGCCCTGATGGGGGCTCCAGGGTGTGGCGAGGCCAGGGGCCAAGGGCTAGGGACTGATTGCCCCTGTGCCATCGGCACCATGTTCCCCAGGGACCCTGGCCCCGGCAGTGACACCCACCCATTCAGCGGGCTGGGAGGCAACAGGCAGCCAGAGATGGCCGGGGCCAGGGCAGAGGGTCCCACTGTGCCCTCTGGGACTAGGGAGCAGAGCTGAGCACTCGGGAGATCCAGGCAGAGAGGATTATAGGAACCATCCCTGTGAGGTGGCTGGGTTCACAGCATCGCCGATGGCTCCAGTCTCCCTGAGTGCCTGCACCCCCAGGGGTCCAGCCTCACTACCTTTCCCTCTTGGGGGGGGATCCCCCACGTCCTCAACCCCAGCCCAAGCCCTGGGTCCCAGCAGGCCCCACTGGGGACGGCCCTGCTGCCACTCCCCTCTGGGACTGTGACCAGGGCTCACTATGACCACCAGAGCTTCCTTAGCAGAACCGAGCAGAGAAATGGACCCTAAACCATGGAACAGTCTGTGTGGGCCTGTGTTGCATGGAGAGCTGGGGCAGGTGTAGCGTGTCTCCCCTCCCCGAGTCTGGGGGAGCAGGGTCAGGCCTGGCTTGTCTCCACCGCCCTGAGTCTAGGGGAGCTGGGGCAGGCCCGGCTTGTGCCCCCACCCCCCGCCCTGAGTCTGGGGGAGCTGGGGCAGGCCCAGCTTGTCGCCCGACCCCAAGGCTGTGGGAGCTTGTTCCTATGCAGTCCCTCACAAGGTCCTGTCTCTGTGCTCTGAGCCACTCCAAAGCGCTGGGGTTGGTTCTCGTGTCCAGCTCTGGAGTCTCTCTCCCGGGAGTCAGCCCCCCCAGTTGCTCCCCCAGGACAGGGAGAACTTTGACCCCTCTGTGATCGCTCACATGACCACACGCATGGACACTGCGCACCGATGCAGCCACATACATCCATGCCCAGCACCCAGAAATCACACACACACAAATCGCACAGCTACTTATACTTGCACTCATGCCTTAACACAACTGTAGACACACGCATCACAGCCATTTAAGTGTACGTCTCCCATGGCCATCTGTGTGCACCTGCTCACATGACATCCTACAGCACACATACTTGTGTAACCCTTCTGCTAGGTGGAGCCAGCAGCAACCAGGGCCAGGTTCAACATCTAGGGGTTCGTTTTCAACAATATAACACAGAACCAGTTCGAGGCCCCACCCAGTGACCTGGGGAAATTACATACCACCCCTGGGCTCCTCTGAGAGGCAATACTTCCCCTCTCCAAGCACAGAGTCTGTGTGTAGAAAAGAAACTTTTAATGAGAGGAGGGAAGTCACCCAGCATTAGTTAGGGAAAATGCCACAAGCAGGATTCATAACCATAAAACTTTGAGCAGGACACCAGCGTGCATGAGGCAGACCCTTCCGCCTCATGTTCTTGAGTTCTACAACCAAACGTTCCTATACTGTGCCCCCCTCTGCTCCCTCACCACACCCCACTCACAGCGATTGTCCTTGGTCAGTGAGGACCCAGGGTTCAGAGGTGCAGCTTGCTGCTCTGCCATCTGAGCACTTGTGCGGGCCAGCTGCCCCGCCAGCCGTTCGTTCCTCTCCACCTAGCCCCACCAGATGACTGGTTGCCACTTTCGCTGGCTGCTCCTGCCAGCCACCCACCTTCTGCTGTGACGTCTGTGGGTCAGTCTCTTGGTAATTCTTGTTAGCCCTCAGCAGGCTGGGCAGAAACACTGCCCCACCACAAGGGATTTCAGCTCTTCTTGGGTACCTACAATAACAAAAGGCTCTGAATGAAGCCTATTGAGCTTTGTTTTGAATCATAGAATCATAGAATAACAGAGTTGGAAGGGACCTCTGGAGGCCATCTAGTCCAACCTCCTGCCCAGAGCAGGACCAATCCCAACTAAATCATCCCAGCCAGGGCTTTGTCAAGCCTGACTTTAAAAACTTCTAAGGAAGGGGATTCCACCACCTCCCTAGGTAACGCATTCCAGTGTTTCACCACCCTCCTAGTGAAAGAGTTTTTCCTAATATCCAACCTAAACCTCCCCCACTGCAACTTGAGACCATTACTCCTTGTCCTGTCATCTGCTATCACTGAGAATAGTCTAGATCCATCCTCTTTGGATCCACCTTTCAGGTAGTTAAAAGCAGCTATCAAATCCCCCCTCATTCTTCTCTTCCGTAGACTAAACAATCCCAGTTCCCTCAGCCTCTCCTCATAACTCATGTGTTCCAGTCCCCTAATCATTTTTGTTGCCCTTCGCTGGACTCTCTCCAATTTCTCCACATCCTTCTTGTAGTATGGGGCCCAAAACTGGATACAGTACTCCAGATGAGGCCTCACCAATGTCGAATAGAGGGGAATGATCACATCCCTCGATCTGCTGGCAATGCCCCTACTTATATACCCCAAAATGCCATTGGCCTTCTTGGCAACAAGGGCATACTGTTGACTCATATCCAGCTTCTCATCCACTGTCACCCCTAGGTCCTTCTCTGCAGAACTGCTGCCGAGCCATTCGGTCCCTAGTCTGTAGCGGTGCATTGGATTCTTCCATCCTAAGTGCAGGACAGTGGGAAGAACCAGGTTAAACCAGACCAAGAGCCCTTAGGAAGAGGCCACATCTCCTGACTGGAACACTTATCTCTACCCCTCTGACTTTCACAGGGCTCTGGCCTTCCAGCCCTGGCTTAGCGAGTTGCTTTCAGCTGAGGGTGACCCCCTCAACTGGGGCAAGTTCAGTACAGTTCTGCTCCCCTTTAGTCATACAATGAAGATAACATTTCACTAGGTGATTTGTAACCCAACACCAGATCACTTGGAGCTACACAACTGTCTGCTGGCTACCTCGGGCAGAGTAGGTATGTTCACGGAAATACAGTTTGCTCCTGAAGTCCCTCCCCCTCCCCCCAATAGCTGTCAGGGGAGAGCTCATTCAGACCCTGCTCACACTTGTATGCACAAGGCCTTATCACTAATATGCAGCCCTCTCCAGCACCCCCTCTGCCCCAGCCAGCCAGAGGTTGGTTTGCCTTTGGGCAGCTGGAAGCGAAAGGGCCTTTGTCGCGGGTGGGGGCGGCACAACACTGGGGTCACTCTCCCTAGCCAGGGAAGGGGTGGGCTCAGCCTGGGAGCCCCTCTCCCCAGTGGGACCCAGCCACCTCCTACCCAAGGGGCAGCTGCTTAGCCCAAAGGTTTTCAGTCTAGCCCCGCCGCCCCTGTGTGTTCCAGCCACATGCACCTCCTGTGAAACAGCCAGTTGGGGCTGGGGGGATGGGAGTTGGGACAGGACTCCCGGGCTCTAGTTCCAGCTCTGGAGGGGAGTGGGGTCTAGTGGGTTCATAGCCAAGGGGCTGGGACTCAGGACTCCTGGGTTCTGTCCCTGACCCTGTGCATAGATAGGTCCCTTCCCCCTCATGTGCCTCAGTTTCCCCTGTCTCTTACCCAGACTGTGTGGAATAGAGTCCTGGCAGGGGGGACGGGGCTGTTCTTGCCATGGTGCAGAGTGACCACTGGGGCAGGCGGGGCTGACACTTGGCTCCCTCTGCCCCAGGCTCCTCTATGCAAAGCTGCTCTTGCTGCTGACCGAGCTGCGGACGCTCAAGGTGGAGAACACACGGCAAATCCTGCACATCCAGGACCTGACCATCATGACACCGCTGCTCTCTGAGATCATCAGCTAGAGCCCAGAGACAGGACCTGCTGGCCAGCCCCCCTGGCTGGGGCCAGGATCCCACTGGACCGGGGTCCCTCTCGCTGAGGCCAGAACCTCACTGGACCAGGGCCCCTCTCGCTGGGGCCAGGACTCCACTGGACAGGGTCTGCCTCACCGGGGCCAGGACCCCACTGGACCGGGCCCACCCCCCTACTTTCCAGGTCCATCTGCTGCCCCCCAGTAGCTCAGGGACTCCTCGACTGAGCCCCGCAGCCAGACCCTGCTGCCCAAACTTGTTGATCCTCTCCCCTCCGCTCAGTGAATCCGACCTGCTCTCAGCTCCGGGAGCCTGGGTCGGCTGTGGCTCTGAGGAATCAAAACTGACCCCTCGGCTCAGCTGCGCCCCTGCCTGGCCAGTACCGCTTGTACAGAGCAGCCCAGGGACACGGCTGAAACAGGCCAGAACCAGCCTGCATCTGGACCAGACCCGAGCCTGACGCTTGAGCCCAGGCAGGCCCAGATGCTAGACGCTGCAGCCGGGCAGGGGTGGGACTGAGCATGTGGCCATTTGGCTGGACCTGCAGCTTTGGGGGCTCTCGCCTGTCTGCCCAGTGTCACCTCGGGCCAGCGTCTGCACCAGAGCCTAGCCAGGCCCAGCGCTGGGAGCAGGAGTGCTGCGCGTGGCAGACGTAAGACACCAGGGCAGGAAGGGGAGTCCTACCCACAAGTGTGGCAGGCCCTGTGACTCCCCATGGCCTGCTCTGGGCCCAGCAGGCACGGTGGGGCTGCCCACTGCAGCTCACATACCTGGAGGAGAGGCCTGCCCAGTATGTGCCAGCACCTGCAGCCAGCCTGGCAAGAGAGCCTGCCACGAGGCCTGCATCCCTCAGCCCTCCCCACCATACAGTGCACCCCCAACCCTGACCCCTGCCTGCCGCGCCATTCCAGAACCTGTGTCTCGGCACTGCCCCACCCCACAGGGAATGAGCCCCCTACCCCATACAGAGCCTGTCCCGCTCCATACAGGGCCTGGCCCTCAGCCCTGCCCCATCCCACAGGGAATGAGCCCCTCAACTCTGATCCCCCACCCCAGTGTGGGGCCTGCCCCTCAGCTCTGCCCCACCCCAGCACAGGAGCTGCCCCTGTATGGGGCCTGCCCCTTGGTCCTGCCACACCTTCCCACCCCAGCATAGGACATACCCCCCTCAGTCCTACCCACCCCAGTTCACGGCCTGCCCCTTGACCCTGCCCCACCCTAGCACAGGATCAGCGCCCTCCCAGCCCGCCGGCCTGCACAGGATTGACCATTTTAAACAGGGAAACTGAGGCACCAAGCAGTGCTGTGACTTGAGCCTCTGGCTATTCGTTTCTCAGCCTGGCACTCCCGAGCGCCATGGCTGTAGCTGCCATGAGCCCAAAAGTGCAGCCAGTGAAGCCGAGAGGGGCCCAGCTGGGGGCCAAGGAGATCAGCTGCCCTTGTAGGGTGCGCATGGTCTTATTGACTGGGTCCCTCCTGCCCCGTGGCCCTGGACATGGGGAGGGTGTTTGGTTGAGGGCTGTCGCTGGAGTTGTGAATCCTCAGTATAGGCCAGTGCCCAGAGGCCCTGGGGTCAGTGGGCAAAGGACCCAGGTGTCCTACCTGTCCTGGGTGCGGCCGTTTACTCCAGCGAAACACTCCCAGTGTAGAGCAGGGGGGGTGTCGGGCACCAGCTTTACCCAGGCCCCAATAACCCCCCCTTCACCATGCAGGGTGATGTGTCACCCCCTGCCCTAAGCACTTTTCCCTCCATCAGCCATGGGCCTGGCCCACACCTGGGACATCGCCCATGGCCACCCTACAGCTCCAGGTCATGCCACCATGCCAGCTCCATGGCTGTGTTTGGGGGCTCATGAGGGGCTGGGCTGCTGGCAGCGTGGGCAGGGACGTGGCACTGTGACGCCTGGGGGCATAGCTTGGGGGGGGGACACATGACAGGCTGGGCTGCTAGGGGGCGTAGGGGTAGGGCCATGGTGCCTGGGACATGTCTGTCACTAGCACACTTTAGGGGCCAAATTAAAGCCTCATTTATTTATTCACTCTCCTTGTGCCTCTAACGGGGGGCAGCCCCCCCCCCCGGCTCCCAGAGCCCACCTACACCTGAGAGCTATTCCTCTGGGACAGTGACTTGGTGCAAGCCAGGCACCTGCTTGGGGGGCACGGGTGGGGGAGGCATTGAAAACATGGTCTACTCCTGGCACCCCCTCATTCACCCCACTCTCTGTCAGGCCCCCCACGCAGTGCAGGGCCATTCTCCCCATTGTACACAGGGAGAAACTGAGGCACGGGGATGGGACCTGCCCCAGGGCACCCACAGAAACAGTGGGAGATGAACCCAGGAGCCCTGGCTCCCTGGCTCAGCATTCAATTGGTCTGTTAGTGTCACGCAGTCTCCCCCAACACCCTCTCCCAGTCAAATGAGACCCTGCCCCCTCCCCAATTCTGTCTCCTCCCCTCCCCCAGTTCCAAGGCCTCCCTCTCCCTAAGCACCTTTCCCAGGCAGCCTCCCCACCCCCACTGGCTCTCTGTCCTTGGTCACTGCCCTCCTGGCTTCTGTCCCTGACCCCGGCCCTCCCATCACTGCCCCTGCTCCCCCCCGCCATTACTGCTTCCCACTCCCCTCCAGTCACTGACGCCCACCTGGCTCCACTCTGCTCAGCCAAGGCTGCCTTGCTGAGGTGCCCCCTCAGGGCGTGACGCAGCCGGATGCTAGTCCAAGAGCCAGGCCTGGCCTGCGGGGGCTGCCGTTTGGCCCTGGGCAACGGTGGAAGGACGCCCAAGACACTGAGCAGAGCCCAGCCCTGCCCATGGGCAGCTCTTGAGCCAGTGTGGGGGCATCAGAGACGCTGCAGGAGGGAGGGCAGCCCAAGTAGTGCCCAGCTGGGCAGGGGTGCACACTGGGCACTGTGGGCCTGAGCAATGGGATGGGGTTGTGGGTGTGTGGTGCTCTGCAGCTGTGGGGGGAGGGCATGGGGCTGCGTGTGGCTGAGGGGGGTTATGCTGGGGGGGCTGGCACTGCCCCTGCCATGCCCTGCTCCTTCCCAGCCTGGGCACTGGCTGGCTGCACGTGGCAGCTTCTCCCCAGGGCAGGCATGCTGCCAGGAGTTGGGCCCAGCTCCCTCCGTAGGGATGGGCTCGCAGCAGCCGCTGGTTTGGCTCTGTCTGCTGCCCTGAGATGTGCCGTTCCCCACCCACGTGCACAGCTGGGCACTTGCCCAGCAATCGCCCTTGGGGACATGCACCAGGGCCCTGGTCCTGTTGCCCCTGGGTTAACTGCCCCCCCCACACACACACAGTGGGCACACAGCCCTGGCTGGAGGGAGCCAAAGCCGCTGCCTGCCACTGAGGGCCAGCCGTGCCAGCTGAGCCATGGTGCCCAGTGCAGTCTGAGGGGGATGTGCAGACGAGGCCTTCCCCAGCGTCCAGTGGGGATGCAGGAGGCCGCGCAGATGAGAGCTGGGGCACGTGGCCAGGCATGACCAACACGTGGCCAGGAGCAAGGGTCAGAGTGAGTGAGTCCATGTGCACAGCAGGTGTGAGGGGTGTGTGTCTGTGTGTGAGGGTGGGTGGGTGTGCTAGTGGCAAGATGTGTGTGTCTCTGTGTGTGTGATAGTGGCAGGGGGTGTGTGGGTGGGTGTTAATGGCAGTGTGTGCGTCTGTGATAGTGGCAGGGGGTGTGTTAGTGGCAGGGGGTGTCTGTGGGTATGTGTTGATTGCAGGCTGTCTGTGTGTGTGATAGTGGCAGGGTGTGTCTGTGGGGGGAGGGTGTTGGAATCACAGAATCCGGAACTATGGGGGTTGGAAGGGACCTCAGGAGGCCATCTAGTCCAATCCCCTGCCCAGAGCAGGACCAATCCCCAACTAAATCATCCCAGCCAGGGCTTTGTCAAGCCTGACCTTAAAAACCTCTAAGGATGGAGATCCCACCACCTCCCTAGGTAACGCATTCCAGTGCTTCACCACCCCCCTAGTGAAAAAGTTTTTCCCAATATCCAACCTAAACCTCCTCCACTGCAACTTGAGACCATTACTCCTCGTTCTGTCATCAGCTACCACTGAGAACAGCCTAGATCCATCCTCTGTGGAACCCCCTTTCAGGTAGTTGAAAGCAGCTATCAAAGCCCCCCTCATTCTTCTCTTCTGTAGACTAAACATCCCCAGTTCCCTCAGCCTCTCCTCCTAACTCATGTGTTCCAGTCCCCTAATCATTTTTGTTGCCCTCCAATGGATGTTTTCCAATTTTTCCACATCCTTCTTGTAGTGTGGGGCCTGTCACCGAGTCCCCGGGCGATGCTCTGGAACTGCTCCCTACGAAGCCAGGCAGGACTCTGGGGAAGTCTCCTTTCTGTGAGCAGACTGTCTGCAGGACACACAGCTTCCACCTTCCTGGGTCTGACCTCGGAGCATTCAGTATCCTCTGCCCCTCCGTGCGCTTCCCCCAGCATGTCCGCCCAGGCGAGCTCCTGGGGAAGCCAGAGGGTCCTGCACCCCAACTTCGCAGTCAGACGTGACTCTCAGCCAGCCAGTAAAACAGAAGGTTTATTAGATGACAGGAACATGGTCTAACACAGAGCTTGTAGGTGCAGAGAACAGGACCCCTCAGCCGGGTCCGTTTTGGGGGGCAGTGAGCCAGACAACCACGTCTGCCCTTCACTCTATGTCCCCAGCCAGCCCCAAACTGAAACTCTCTCCAGCCCCCCCCCTCCTCTGGTCTTTGTCCCTTCCCCTTCCCCCCCCCCCAGGCCAGGCCATCAGTTGCCAGGAAACAGGGTGTTGGCCATTGTCTGTGTCCAGACCCCTGCACACACCTGCCCTCTAGGGCTCTGCAACGACCATACACCCTTATCCCACCACCTAGATACTTAAGAACTGCATAGAGGAAACTGAGGCACCCCCACAATATTCAGAGGAAACATTAAGAACAGTCCCGCTTCGTCACAGGGCCCAAAACTGGACACAGTACTCCAGATGAGGCCTCACCAATGCCAAATAGAGGGGAACGATCACGTCCCTCAATCTGCTGGCAATGCCCCTACTTATACACCCCAAAATGCCATTGGTCTTCTTGGCAACAAGGGCACACTGTTGACTTATATCCAGCTTCTCGTCCACTGTAACCCCTAGGTCCTTCTCCGCAGAACTGCTGCCGAGCCATTCAGTCCCTAGTCTGTAGCGGTGCATGGGATTCTTCCATCCTAAGTGCAGGACTCTGCACTTGTCCTTGTTGAACCTCAACAGATTTCTTTTGGCCCAATCCTCTAATTTGTCTAGGGCCCTCTGTATCCTATCCAGAGGACAAAACCGGCTCGAGGACCAACCCTTGGGGCACTCCACTTGATACCAGCTGCCAACTAGACATGGAGCCATTGATCACTACCCGTTGAGCCCGACAACCTAGCCAGCTTTCTATCCACCTTATAGTCCATTCATCCAGCTCCTACTTTTTTAACTTACTGCCAAGAATACTGTGGGAGACCACGTCAAAGGCTTTGCTAAAGTCAAGGAACAACACGTCCACTGCTTCATCCACAGAGCCAGTTATCTCGTCCTAGAAGGCAATTAGATTAGTCAGGCATGACTTGCCCTTGGTGAATCCATGCTGACTGTTCCTGATCACTTTCCTCTCCTCTAAGTGCTTCAGAATTGATTCTTTGAGGACCTGCACCATGATTTTCCCAGGGATTAAGGTGAGGCTGACTGGCCTGTAGTTCCCAGGATCCTCCTTCTTCCCTTTTTTTAAAGATGGGCACTACATTAGCCTTTTTCCAGTCATCCGGGACCTCCCCCGATCGCCATGAGTTTTCAAAGATAATGGCCAATGGCTCTACAATCACATCCGCCAACTCCTTTGGCACTCTCGGATGCAGCGCATCCGGCCCCATGGACTTGTGCTCGTCCAGATTTTCTAAATAGTCCCAAACCACTTCTTTCTCCACAGAGGGCTGGTCACCTCCTCCCCATGCTGTGCTGCCCAGTGCAGCAGACTTAGAGCTGACCTTGTTCGTGAAGACAGAGGCAAAAAAAGCATTGAGTACACTAGCTTTTTCCACATCCTCTGTCACTAGGTTGCCTCCCTCATTCAGTAAGGGGCCCACACTTTCCTTGACTTTCTTCTTGTTGCTAACATACCTGAAGAAACCCTTCTTGTTACTCTTAACATCTCTTGCTAGCTGCAACTCCAGGTGTGATTTGGCCTTCCTGATTTCACTCCTGCATGCCCGAGCAATATTTTTATACTCTTCCCTGGTCATTTGTCCAATCTTCCACTTCTTGTAAGCCTCTTTTTTGTGTTTAAGCTCAGCAAGGATTTCACTGTTAAGCCAAGCTGGTCGCCTGCATATTTACTATTCTTTTTACACATTGGGATGGTTTGTCCCTGTAACCTCAACAAGGATTCTTTAAAATACAGCCAGCTCTCCTGGACTCCTTTCCCACTCATGTTATTCTCCCAGGTGATCCTGCCCATCAGTTCCCTGAGGGACCCAAAGTCTGCTTTTCTGAAGTCCAGGGTCCGTATTCTGCTGCTCTCTTTTCTTCCCTGTGTCAGGATCCTGAACTCGACCATCTCATGGTCACTGCCTCCCAGGTTCCCATCCACTTTAGCTTCCCCTACTAATTCTTCCTGGTTTGTGAGCAGCAGGTCAAGAAGAGCTCTGCCCCAAGTTGGTTCCTCCAGCACTTGCACCAAGAAATTGTCCCCTACACTTTCCAAAAACTTCCTGGATTGTCTGTGCACCGCTGTATTGCTCTCCCAGTAGATATCAGGGTGATTAAAGTCTCCCATGAGAACCAGGGCCTGCGATCTAGTAACTTCCATTCGTTGCCGGAGTGTTAATGGCAGGGTTTGTGTGTGTCACTGGCAGGCTGTGTGTGTGTGTGTGTGTGTGTGTGTGTCAGGGTGTGTCTGTGGGTGGATGTTAATTGCAGGGTGTGTGT